AGCAGGTCTCTATTAAGTCGGTCGTGGCTTACGTGGACTGGCTCATACAGACAGAACATTCTACTCCTTCTGACTCACTTGAACTTCGGGTCTCGTTCGAACCCAAGAAAACTGAAAGGTATATAATTGCTTTTGTTCGATTGTAGTAGCTCCATGTATGTATCAAGATCCATCTCGGAGTTGTTAACATAGTTAGGTACAATGAAACCTCGACGAAGTGCTGTGGGATTTCTTTGTCTCATTACAGCAGAGGAGATATTCGTTAACACACCAATTTTTCCTTGTTTGGTATGAAGACAAAGCCAGGTGCCACCTTCACATGATGCCATTTGATCTCTTCCTTTAGAAAAGTAACAACAAAACCACTATTTAGATTGTCAGTTTGTCCAAAAGAACAATTATACCTCCAAGTACAAAGTTTGTCTGCGGCCATACATGAGCAGCAATAGTAGGTCGTTGAAAATCTTCGTCACGATTCGAAAGTAGAATCAATTCATAGCCTAAGTCACATTTTTCGTCATGTCGTTGAACGTAACAAAAGAGGATGCACATGATCTCAAAATACACATACACACACATACGTACATATTTAGGTCCAACAGCTACAGTTAGGAATATACAAGACGTGTCATTCCAGCTGTGACATGCAAATGGTAGAGAGAACGAGAAAGTGATAGATAAAGAAAAAAGGACGTCGAACTATTACAAAGAGAAAAAAAGACGTTTTTATCTATTTACTGCGCAGTGTGATAGGATTCTAAAATATGCATTCACTAACATTTAATATCAACATAATGTCGCGGAAATGCACAGAAATACTTTTTTTATTATTGACACACTGTCAGCCCATTATTACTCTGTTACACATTTTTCTACTATAAAATTGTAGCCTGAGTGAAATGGCATAGTTTTCTACGAGGATCTTGAATTTTTTCGTCAGATGCGTCTTATGGTGATTGACAAGTAGTATAAGTTTCTATTTTGTATTTCAGAATGTTTTTGGGTTTAAAATATGTATTTAGTACTTCATTGTGTAATCCTATTTCATGAATGATTTATCTCTATTTTTTGTTGTATATCTGTGCCTACCTGTGGAGCGTCATATCAATAAAAGAGCACGAGAAGAAGGATCCGTTCTTATCTTATGTAAATTTTCGAACTTTGCTTCGTCAATACGAGAGAGAGTAAACTTTCGTTTCTTTTTATGTCCAGTCATAGTGGGTCTATTTATATCTGGTCTTTGCAGAGTTTTTGTCTGACCAGAGTAGCGATATTTAAATCATTAGTTGTTGTTTTTGATGTGTGTTTTATGGTCTAATTGGCTTTGGAAATATCTATTGGGGGAGGGGCTGGTCAACATGGAATTTCTACTGACACCTGACTAGGACGCAAAAATCGTAGACGTTCTAATGCTTCATTCCTATTTGAAAAGCAAAATGATTTAGATGAAAAAAAATGGCGGAAATGAACGAGACGTTGTGTCGCCAGTGTCTGGTGCTCGTAAAATTATGTTTTTCTGTGTTCAGCAGTTCAAGCAGTCCATTTTTACACCGGTGTACACATCATAACTTTTATCTGTCGATAGACAATGCAACTACCCAAGCAGACAAACTTTTGAGAAAACGCGTTTAAACGCACAGAAATTGACCTAAAATCAGCAAAAAATGGACGTTTTTGGCTCACACTTGAGGTTTCCGACTGTGAGCCAAAAATGCCTATTTTTCGCCCTTTTTGTGCGTTTAAACGTGTTTTCTCAAAAGTTTATCTGCCTGAGTATTGACATCGGCTATATTGAAACTGAGCTGAATGTCAAACTTATCAGTACCTCTTGATAAATGTTTTTATGATAGGAAGAGAAAGGAAATGCTTGTTGCTATAGGAGTCGCTGCTTTCAGATCAAAACTACAACTACATGCATGTGCATAATGAAAGCCGCCGAACAACTACGCACAATAGGGAGCGAGTGTGAGAATGAAAATCTGATAAACAAAGAAAAATTCAGGATGAAAGTGTAAGGGTGAGTAGATATGACCGTGTTACGACAAATGGCTGTTTCTGTTCTGCCGGGGCTTCATCAGGTAGTATCTTAATATTATATCTATACAGAAGTGTAATTCGTGATAAATCATTTGCAGTACAAAGATAGATACGATAATCAATTTACATTTGCACATTCAAATTTTCAAAATAGAATTAACATAATTATAATCATCAACGATTATACATGTTCATATCTATTTAAATGAAAATTTTGAAGAAAATATCAAAGATGAGGGTGAGAATCTTGAGGGCGTGGATGAGTTTAGCGTGCCATGATCCAGATTTCGACCTTGCTTAAGGGCCTCATCAGATGGCTTTAATTCTAATGTAGTTGTTCAAAATGATTTAATAGATGGTCCATGACTCAATCGAGCATTTGAGTGAAGATCCGTCATGAGAAAAGTTTTTACGTACTCTTTTTATGGTTCAAAAGAAAGCCTGAACAAAATTTTAGCTCAATCGGACGTAAACCTGAAAAATGAGAGATGAAACACTGCGAGGATGAAGATTGGATACCAATATATCGATCAATTTCAGTATTTTGACAATATCTCAGAAATGAGTCAACGTACTGAGTCGAGTAATATCTCAAAAGATAGAATTATTTGCTCCACAAATCAGTCCATTTGGAACTCTCCTACAAGGAGGAAAAAGCTGCATTTTCGATTGTTTTGATTGGCAATGATTTATTTGATTCCAATCAGCTTTTTCTCCCTTGACTAGACCTAAATTGGAATAAAAGGGAAAGAAAGAAAATAGAATTTGATAAAGACATTTTGGTACATTTTACATGTACGCTATCACTAGCACACTTCGGCGCTCGCTTTCATCAGATATGGGAGAAAATATTCGAAAGGACACCACTTGAAGAGATACCTGCCATGTATGCGAACAGACTAGTGGATAGCTTAAAGCACTTATTAGTCAAAAAATCACCCAGCAGAGAAGCGATTAAGCTGCTACCAGAAACATTGAAAAAATAGAATAGAACATAAAAATAAAACACGAATTAAAAAGAAAAATAAGAAGAATAAAAACAAAATAAAACTAAAAACAATTAAGTTAGGACAAAGCAAAATGACTTACCATAACATCAGCTTAAAAATATGGAATAGAGTAAATATAAAACAAAGCAACAACTAAAAGAAAAAATAAAATAGAATATCAACCAGAAAAAAACATTAAACAAAACATCAACGAAAAGAAAAAGAAAGAGAATAGAATAAAAAAGAAAAAATGGCTAACACTAACATCAATCACAAGAACATTCTCCATTCATTTATATCAAATCTCCAAAATCACCTCTATCTTTCCCTTAAAGATTGTATCATTTTCTCTTCTATATTACCTTCCCTTAGTAAAAATCAGTGACTAAAAATAATTATTGTTATTTTTATTTCTGTTTGCTTCTTATCACGTTTGCGTAACGATTGTATCATTTCATTTGGTACTGTCCCTTTTGCGTAATGATCATGTCGTTATGTATACATGAAAAATTATACTTTTTGTGACGATTTTCAGTTAGAAGAAGTGTTAATACTGATAGAATTATGCTTTATTGAGCTTCTTCATATCATACAATCGCCTCGTTTACATGTAAAGCACAGGTTTATATACACGAGTAGAATAAGAGATGATGAAAAGAAAGATGATGAGACCAAGGAGAGAACAGATATACAGGTTGATTACGTTATTTTTAATAGTTTTGTATAGTTTGCTGTATTTATACAATACATTGAAAAGTTCTTATTTTAACACAGTTGGATACAGCACCGGCTGCTCTATCAACACATATAATTTGCTTTTTACTTTCCCTAGCTCTAGCTCAAAAATTGATGCATCTCAAACAACTATGAAGAAAATTTTTTTAGGGTTCTTGACATGATTTTTAATAGTTTTATTTTTCACATACATATTGCTCATGCTATGCTTAATAGTATTCGCGATAATACGTGCACATTATATATTGAACAATTTTTTTCTTTCCCGTTTATGACAGTTATAGTCGTCTTCTTTTATTCAACTCGTTAAAGTTCATTTTAATAAATGTCACGTAATAAAATTTCTGACAATGTCGAAGGACGTATTCTGCAACTATTACACCAAAGATACGCCCAGCCTCGAATTGTGATCACTTTGAAGCTTAGTAGGCTCAACCTACTGTGCCAAATGTCAAGTGAAAGATCGGGCGTCAGCGAAATTCTGAATCCAAAAATTAATTTTTTTCAAAAAAAACCATGGCAAACCACGTCTATAATGACAAAGGTCATTAAGAAAGTTGATGTTAAAGATTCACCGACTCGTTATTATATTGACAAGGTTTTGAAACTATTTTTGATACGACACGTTGCACGTTTATTTCCAAAAACATAAAAAATAAAGGGACTTTTTCATTAAGACTCGGCACCAAGCTATACTTCCAAAAGAACAATTAGTTTTTTGAATAGAAATAAAATTTATTATTTTAAGCAAGGGGAAAGGATGCCTAGCAGTCTTGATGGCGCACCAATGGGTTATTCAATATGGGGATACACTTGCTATTATTTAATTATTTGCTACATAGTGCGATGCTTCTCATCAAAACAATCACAACAATAAAATTCTCAGAGTGAAGACAGAAAGTTAGGATGCGTGTGTCGTGGGCGTGCGTTAAATCATGCTCACACTCACACTCACACCCTGTGAAAATGAGCCACTATCAAATGTTTCGATCGTTGCAATAGACTACTTCTTTCTGTAAATAGCAGTGCACCGAATTATGGCTGAGTATACGTCATTGAAGTCAACCAAGGTATAATTT